GTTTATTTATTGTAGCTGAATTGTAATTTAAATTGTAATTGTAATTTAAATTTAAATTGTAATTTAACTTGTCAAGAGTTGACTTTTAGGGAGGAAAATCAGATAGTACTTTGAGAAAATATTAATAAAAAATTGGTAAATGCAGCAGTGCCTTAGTTTTTTCTGGTTGGTATTAGTAATGTGTATTAACCAATAAGACAAGCTAAACAGATGTATGTAGAAAAGTAATTAGATCAGGTTTACATACGTGTTTACAAAATATGCTGGCTTATAGTCTTAAAAGAAATAAATTTGAATTGCTTTGCCCAGATGTGGACAAACTTCAGTTAACAAGTTTTATAGTCTCTTGAGTGAAATCTTTTTCGTTTTCTCCTAATAATAACACTTTCTAGAGTTTTGCCATGATATATGAAGTAACTTAATCCTAGTGAGTTAGTGATAAGTCTTTGCTCTCATCCCCTTCCTGAACCCCAAGAACACTTCCCAGTGCGCTTGTGTGTGTTGTGGTTTGACCTCACTGAGTCAGGGGGAGCTGAGGATGCCTGGAGCTAACACTTGGCTGTTAGCCTCCACAGTTCTCCTAGCTGGAACTGAAGCTAGATGATGAATATGACTGTGTGGTATATAAGTACGAGAGTAGCAATGCTATAACACTCTTATGCCAGAGGGATGATATTTATCCTGTGCTTATGTTTATTGTGTAGATTATGACCTCCAGGTTGCCCTTTCAGAAGCACTATGTAGGTTAATGATAAAAAAATGGAGAGATGACCTTGTTCACCACTGGTTTGAAGATAACTATCTTGCTGAAGCTTTCAAAGAGATCAAGGATAGAGAATTTGAGACGGTGAGGGTCCTTATTTTGAAAACAACATACTTGACAAGTCTGTATAGGGGCTAGTTTTGGTTGAGTTCAGTCAGGATGTCCTTGTAAGAAGTTCCTACAAAACTGACTTTATAAATACACAAAGTTACTTAGTTATTGAATTATTTGTGGATGGTGTGTTTTGGTTTTTTTCTATTAATATGGCAAATATTAAATGACACATTGTTAAAATAGCTCTTCTAAGTTATTTTACTTACAAAAAAAGTAAAATAAAAATTATAATAAATAAAAAAACATAAATAAGTTTATGTTTGAAGGCTTACTGGTAGTAAGTTGGGTCCAACCATTTGTAGGAACTTGAGTGTTTCTTCCTCAGGGGCCTTTGGCATCACACTGACTAGTTAAAAGCTTCTAACTGGAGTAGAGGTTACGCAGCCCAATAGAATAAGTATTTGCAAAGGAAATGCAGCCTGACTTTTTAATAATATGTCATTTGTCTTGAAGGACTGCAGAAAATTTCTTAACCTGCTGAATGAAAGGCTTGGGAATGAAAGAAGGTAAGCTGGGGACCAACAGAATAACTATTGCAGAGGGGAATAAACAGGATTGTGAACGGGGTTGGGTGATATTAAAAAGAAAAAAAAAGAATTTATGTCACATGTGAAGAATTAAATTGTTCTTAAGAAGGACATTTTATTCATTTTTATGGTGGTTCTTTTGAAAGTAAAATCAATGAAGATAATGCATCACTACTAAAATATTATGGCCTCTTAAGCTTCTCCAATATTAATTTACTTTTAGAAATATTTTAATTATTTCTTGAACAATAAGATTGGTTATACTAATCTTATGAAAAATAAAATCATTTAAGTCAGACTCTGATGCTGAATGTATCATGTGAAGTCTGCTTTTCTTCCAGAGTGTATTCGTTTCCATGCATATCTGCTTTTGCTGACACGAAGGAGGTAATAGCCCCTAAAGCTCTAACACCTTCCCTACACTGTTACCACTGCGAAAATGTTGGGGTTTGTGGTAATTGTTTTTTTCCCCTCCCTCTTTTTCATTGAAGAGCTCAATTTCTTAAAATGTAGAGTGTAACCTTCTATGCTGGTTGGAAAGTTTGCTTGTTTGTCACTTAGCTCCCAATTTACAGCTGCTGACTTTGCTTTTGTATCAACCAAAAGATAGAGGTAGCGCTTCTCTTCGTGGTGATGACAGAAGGGAGAGCTCTAAAAAGAAACAGGAGGACAGGACAATGCTGATTCCTCCAGCAGAGCTGTTCTCAGAGTGCCGGAAAACAAGATTAGCCTGATGCCCATGTAGGAGAAGTCAGAGTTGCTGATCCTGCAGATTGCTTTAGTGGTCTTTAGTATGTGTACTGTGGCACCGTTCCTGGCAGTCATATCAAATCAACAGCATGTAAATGGAAGCCAGTTCCACTGTTTCTGATTATTTCAACTGCTCAGAAACAGAACTCCTGTACCCTCTTCCTGGCACAAACATGTGAGTGTTTGTGTGTTGCCTTTCCCTTGGCTGATACAGAGCCGTGTCTGACATGAATATGGTTGGGTGAGCAGTAGACTGGCAGCTCGCAGGTTGATGTGAACTTTTATTTCTGCAAGATGTGCACATGTGTACACAGATATGTAAGGCAATGCTTTCCGATTTTGTCTCGTTAAAGAAAACTGAGAGTGATACAGCAGTTGTGGGGCTTTTCTGGGAACAACAGTACCACTCTTCTTCCCCAGGTGAAGAAGCCATCAGATGAAAAACTGGAGGAGTTTTGGATTGACTTCAACACTGGCAGCCAGAGTGTGACTTTCTATGTGGATAGTAATGAGGTAGCAGTAACAGTAAGGCCCAGGTGGCTTTGGGCTCAGCCTAAGGCTGTAGCCACTCACTTAGCCCTTCTGACATGTTGGCTTTGGTTTTCAAAGGGCTTTCTTTGGGACTCTGTGAGGCTGTCGAAAGAAGCTGTCAGCAGTTACAGGCTGGAGGGTAAGATTTTCCAACTGATGTTGTCTTCTCTCTGGCTGTGGGTTTGTGAGACACATGGAGTCAGCCTAAAATCTCAGCATCACCAAAGAGTGTTCCCATGTCTTCTCCTCCCTCCTTGCCTTGCCCTTTGATAGTCATCTCGCACTAGATCTGCTTGTTGGACTGTGTGTGGGCCCACTGAGCACAATAACTTGCCCTCCCCTACCCAAGCAGGACAGGTTAAGATATCAGTTTATATATGTCCTAGGGAACAGCATAATCATCAAGATCCAATGGGAAAGAAATGAGTGAACAGAGTTACTGGAAATGCATAGGCAAGATGTAAAAGAGACTGTTCTAAAAATTCCAGACACTTATTCAGTTATTTTGTGGTCGAGAGAAGTATGTCATGATCTAAACCAGATTTAATTGCCTTTATGTTTTTTTTTCTCAGAGGATGGTGGACAAAAGATTGTTAAAATTTTTATGAAGAAACCTGCTGCTCTTACCAAAACAGAAGCAACAAAAATCAAACTGGTTTTCAGTGCTGAGTTTGAAATCTTAGGTGTACTTAAAAAAGTCCTGGGAGTTGAAAAATTTATGGTAAGCTCTTAATATGAGGGTTAGGGTTTTTTTTCTAAACTAGATTTTGCACTGGGCAAAACTATTCAGGTTTCTGGGGTTTATGTTTGTGTGGTTTCTTTGTTTATTTTCTCCATATTTCTTTATTATATATCTGTCTTCCCATTGTGGATTTATAACACTCTATGTAGATGCTCTTAAATTTGGCCTCCAAGAGAAATTAGGCATCTTAGTAACGAAGTTTCAAAAGACTCTAAGTTATGGTTTAGAAGCTGGAAGGTTAAACTGATTTGTTAATAGACTTTGTGTTATTACTTTTGCTGAGCTTCTGCAGTAGAAAATAAAGCCTATGGCATTTAATTGTGTAACTTGAAGTCTAAACATCCTCTTACATATAGCTCCAAGTGTTACATTGCACAGGATGAGCAAATTGTTACATAAGAACCTGGAAAAGAGAATAGGTGTGCTGCAAGATGCAAATCTTAGATTGACTTTGTAGCTAGTACTTCTAGATGAAGAGTAGAGTACTTCTAAAACCTCAAGTTTTTTTCTAAGCGAATGTAAAAACATGGGCGATGTGTGTGACTTTTTTTTTCTCAAGTGTTAATACAGTTAATTTTTTACTCGTAATTGATCCACAGACTATGGAGATTGCAGAAAACCTTTGGCAACAGTAAATAACCATGATATGGTGGCTGTCATTTGCCCTTGCAGGAGCCAAGACCTTTCCAAATTATCAACTCAATTAGCATACAATTATTTGTTGCTGGCAATTACCAACTGTTAATTTTGTTATTAAGTAGTTGACTTTACTAGATAAAGACTACTTTTTTAAGATCACTTTCACATGACATTAATTCACACCAACAGATAAATGAGACTGAAGAGAAGTCTGTCCATGCTGGGAAGCAAGCCAGGGAGAATGAAGCAGGTGATTTTCTTTTTTTTAATTACCGTGTTATTTCATTAAATTTAAATATCTCAGTTTTCAAATTATTGTTTTCACTTGCAGTCCACAGCTTGCAGTTAACCTCATTTAAAAAAGAAAACAAACAAACAAACAAAACCCCAAACCCAAAACAAGCAATGCCCAAGCTCAATCTTCTATTGTTCCTTGTCTTGTGAGCTTAGTAGCTGGTGCTCATGGCAGATGCTGAGTCCCTCTAGCCCAGGGAGTGAGGATTGGGCACCATGGGCCATGTGCTGCTGGTATTACATGGGCAGGGGAACTGCTCAGTGATACAGGGCCTAGATTTGGATCTGGCAGGCAGCCTTGCAAGGCACATCTTGGCTGCTGGCTGCCCACTGATGTGCAAAAAGTGTGCAGTAGTGTTTTTCCATCTGCAGGTGCAGTGGAATGCATCTTTCTGTCCACCTCTCTTGCTTGCTCAATGCCTGGTTTCTGGTTTGGCTATGCTGTGTAGGTGCCTTTGGAAGTTTACCTGCAGAAGGGGACAGTGGCATCAGTGTGCTCATGAAAGCACAGGTTCTCTGATGGATGAGTTCTTGCACCTTGACATTTAACAAGCTCTTCCCTGTACAGTGAGGTGCATGTGGTGAGGCAGCCTCTACCGAAGCTTTCTGCAGGGGAGTGGCTTCTGTTTCTTCTAGACAAGGTGATGTGCTAGAAAGTGGTGTTCTCCAGTCCCTTTACCCCACCTGGAGTGGATGATGCCCTGGAGATTCCTGGTGCTGTTGTGGAAGAGCAGCAAGGGGAGCAGAAATGCTTACCTGTAGTCCCTGTTTGTAGGTAAAGATGAGCAGCAGCTCCTCTCTGCAGAAGGTGTCCTGCTGCTCTGTGCAGGGGCATTGTCAGTGCTGCTGTGAATACATTGTGCTGAGGGCTGTCTTTGTATGTGCTCCAGTTACAAATGCACCTGTGTGCCTTACAGAAGCAAAGGCTCTTAGCTAGACCAGGAATAGCCATTAGTTGCTTATTCTCATCAGCCTATAGCCAGTGCTTTGTATTTCTTTGAACTGGGCACGTTAGGTTTTCCATCATCAAATGGTGTCATTTCCTGTGCTGCTGGTGAACATCTGCAAGATGTCTTCTTTCAGGATCATTTGGCTGAGTTCAATTATGTTCCAAATATTATAGATGTCAAGGGAGCTCAGAACCTGAAGTACAGATGTCATGTTTGGGTGTCTGACCCAAAGGAGGGTCTATAAGGCGTGTACTTGTACAAGAACAATAGAAAGTAACTCCTTTCTTTCCTTTTATCCCCCTCTGAAATTCTTCTGTAAATCCTCACCATGGCTGTGACCCACAGTTTAACGAAAAGCTACTTTCAGCAAAAAAGGCAAGAGATGTGCATGATCAAAATTGGTCTGAAACAGGAAATGTTTTCTCAGCTTAATTTTGGTATCAAATTATCTGGAAGGTGGCGCTTTTTTTTTTTCTATAGTGATCTTTTGTCTTTGAAGACTGGGACTTGTTCTTGCTGCACAACTGGCTGTATTTCAGGTTTTAGAGTGATTACTTTTTGTGTGGATCACTCTGTGATTTAAATTACTTGACAGATATTTCCACACCTCCTAAAGCTGTGAACCCACAGCTCTTTCTACTGCTACCACCCACTGTCTCAGAAGCAAATCAAGTTTGAAGAGCTCTTAGGATAGGTAGTATTGTTTCTGTGACAATATTAAAAACAAATTTTTACTTCCATCTAAGTTATTGTGCATTTCAGGTTTTTCCAAGTGAATACTTGAAAGAGCTACTTCCAGCTCTAAATATCTGAGGCCCTAACTTCTTCAGTAGTCCTTCCCATTTTCCTCCAGTTACAACCTAAAATGAGCTAGAATGGTAGTCCTCCAGATTCTGAAGGCACAGGTGAGCTAGGATTTCCTTCATCAGTGTCCACTATAATGCACACAGAGGTACAAGGTGGGCACTGCTACTTGAAGCAATCAAGTAGTACAAAGGGCAGAAGGTAGTTAATCTGTAGTGAAACATTTTACAGTGCCTGGGAGAGATTCAATGAAGGGCAACAGAGATGGTGGAAGATCCCACTGCTTTAGTCAGACACAAACGGTTGTTCCATGTCTTCCAGAGCTTAGGAGTTAAGGTAGCAATAAGATGATAAACTTCAATGTATTCGTACAGTATGAGGGGCTTACATGGGGTAGGCTCAAGATACTGTTTTTTTAGCATTGCAGTTCTGCACTGGGTAATTTGGAGATGTTTAGTTTTGTTCTATTAAACATGATCTTGAGATGTTTGTGCCTAATAAGTTGTACTGTTACAACTTATACATGAGTGTAATAATGGAAAAGGCAGGTAGTGAGTGTGTTCAGTTACTGCAATAGCATTCTCACACTGATTGCTGTTCTGCAGTGATAGCTGAGTCTTCTAATGCACAAAGGAGGAAAGATCCCTCAAATTCTGAAAACATGGAGACTTTATCAGACAACTTAACCTCTGAGAACAGCCAGCAGTTAACACGCACAGTAGCAGTAAGTGTTTGGTGTATGGTGGAATGGTCCTTGTGCCCCTTTTCCCCCTTCTCCAGTCTGCTTTTTTATAGGTGGGGCTAAAACCTTCTTTCAAAGAAAACTGATTTGTATCTAGTCAACCCAAACATATGCCTCCAGAGCTGCAATTTTGGCAAAACTGCTTTAAAAAGGAAAAAAAAGAAATTTTACTTCTTCTTGTAAGGGGATGGTGGGATACCCTTAGTGAGAAACCTATGATATCACTTATATGCAACCTAAAATGTTTTTTTGTGTGGACAATGATGAATGTGTCATCCAGCTGTTGTCACAGACTGGCACTGAAAATCTATTTCTAAAAAAACCCACTTTTTTTATTGGTCATATATATGTTCTGTTCATGGTTTCATGTCTCTGAGCAGAAAATGGTGAACTCTGGTGTTGCCGTGGTTACAGTGAGCCAGCAAACTGACCTGGAAGATGCTAACCAAGGCTCAGGTCAGGTTTCAGTTCCTAAAGTCTGATCCAGTTCAGTGTCACCCAGATGACATGTTGAAGCACTTGCTTTTGTGGGCCTTACAGCAAAAGTAGATAAAGATTTCATAGTACTGCAGAGGCTAAAGCTATGGTTTCTTTGCCTTCTTCAGCAAAAAAGTCCAAAACTCCATCTCCAGGAATGAAAGCTAAGCCTAGGTGAGTGTCTTGCAGACGAAAAGTTGCAAAGAGGTTTTTTGTGGGGGGGGGGTTGGTTTTTTGTCCCCTTCTCCTGAGGTTTTAATGCATATGATTTTCAGGCTTATTCCATCACTTATTAAATTAGAAAAAGATTCTGGTTTTCAATCTGGATAGTAAGGCTGGATGCCTAGAGTTACAACACTTCGGAGATGCTGAACAGTGATGCTGAGTTACTAGCTTGGCAGCTGCTTTGGTGTCCGTTTTTTCTCATCACAGATTTAATCCAAATGCAAGGTGATCACACAGCTAACTTAAGAGTTTAACTTCAGCTATGTAACTGGAGCTCAGCAAATACGAGGCTATTCATAATGGGGAACAAGACTTTTGTGAAAGATCATGTGAATTTGAATTCTCCTTGGCATCAGTAACACCTTTTTTCCAGAGCTTTGGAGGACAGAATTCCTTGTAGTTAAGGAGCTGGACTTCTGTGGAGCTACTGACTAACTTTCTTCCCTACACACCTAAACCATTGCTTTGATGCTAATTGGTGCAAGTTTTTTTTTCCCCTTAGTACTTCACAGACTTTTTGGTCTTTAAATGAACAGCTCCCTTATGTGTCCTCTTGTCCCCAGTGAGAAGCCCCTAGAAGAAGAACCCAGGGAGGAGGAAACACCAAAGGTATGTTTGCCTTGGGGCTCACCTGAGTGAAGAGATATGGAGCAGGGAAGAGATGTTCTGGTGGAGTTGCAGAAGAAAGCTGGGATGGGTTGACCCACTGATGCCATTGAGCAGTGTACTGAGTCCATGCAGTGTCATATCTGATGTGATGTGCTGTTTAGCACCAGGAGTGAACTGCAGAGGCAACGGCAACCAGCCTCAGTCTAGAGGGGCCCAACCAGTTAATTCAAGCTCACTGGAGTGTATTCAGCACATATGCCCGCCCCACAGCAGTGTGTTGTGCTTGTGTCTAGGAGTACAGTGGTGTGTGGGCATCCAGACTGGCTGTGTGTGGGACAAGCTCACATGTCACAAGACTTGCACACTGTCTGCAAGAGCAAATGTTTGCTTGCTGAATGGAACCAAGCCTTGGAAGTCTACAGAAATGTTTATTCACTTTTGTCTGAGCTCTAATGACCCTCCCATGACGGGTCTAGTGCTAGTTTTAGATTTTTAAATAAAATTAATAATTTTTTTACTGCCAGTTCGAATGCTTTGTAACTCTTGCCCACTCTGCAGTGAATTCAAAGCTTTTGAACTACTTTTTGTAACCCCACCCTCTTGGTCCTCCCAGCTCTGGGAGTTTGTATACTCTCTGATAGGGAAGAACTGCAGGCAATGGTTGCACCTGGATAGTAGTTGCAGTAGGAGGAAGGAAGTTTCCTGGCACACCTTATCTCTGCTTTTAGCAGGCTCTTGGATAAAAACGTGACTTTGGGTATTGTCGTTTTAGCTCCTGGAACTCCCTCCTTTTCCAAAGGATGTTGCCTGGGAAAAGAGAAACAGGAAAACAAGTTTGGCCAAGCAAAGGGATGAAGACAGGTATGACACATGAGTACTGTGCCCGTGCAGAGACTGATGTACCAGGTGAATTTAGACCATTTCTAGTCCTCATGGGCAAGGGTGTCCTCATGGGGCGGACTGTCTGAACAGAACAGATAACAAAACAAGCAGGAGGCTATGAAGGGTCACAACTTGTCTTCAGTAGAACCCTTTGGGTCCCCAAAGTGATGAACACTTCAGAAGCTAACCCTAGTCTGCCAAAAATGCCCTCTACCTCTGTGATACTATGTCACATTGGCTTTTCCATTTTTCCTTACCCAAATGTAATCCTCCCATCCTCCAGTGAGTAGAGTTATGAGTGTCAGCCTCTTTCACAAATACATAAGCTTTCTTGGATATTGTCCCAATATCCAGCATCATGTGTGCTAGAGTTCCAGGACAGTCTTTCTCCGTTTGTCTCCTCACATCCAAAGCTAGCAGCACTGTGAACAGAAGCACTCGAGGGTCTGGGGGCCGTATGCAACTGTGGCACTGAAAGTCTGACACGTGGCACACTTCTCCTGAGGTCTCTGCCAAGTGTTGTGTTCGAGTTAATGCCTTCTGCTGGGTGGAAGAGCAAATGAACTGTATGTGAGGATCTCTGCTGCTGTTCTGGAGCTTCCTTGGGGCTTCCTGCTTCGACCTACTGACTCTTAGCTCAAAAAAACCCCATGAGGGCTTAGATGAATTTTTTGATTGATTGTACATAAGAATAGGAAAACTTGACGCAGGACTTCATCAGGACTACAAGCTGTGTGTTTTAAGACCAAATAATTTGGTACCACAAATACCGATTTTAAAACAGGAGTAGCATTGTACAAGCTAGAGGTGAAGAACTTCTTAGTTCGGTCATTCTGCTCCCTCTAGTGTTTCGTCTGGAAATGAGCGTGTCCTTCCCTCGGGAGGGGAGGCTTTAACGAGGAGCTCAGTTCTTTGGTTTTCCCGTTCTTTCACTAATAAAGAGAGGGTGTACTGTTTGTTGAGCAATAGTTCTAGGATTTTTTTAAATAGTTACAATTTGGAGAAAGCAATAAAGGTACAGTTAAGTTTAAATGTTGAAAGACATGAAACCAAAATCTAGATGTACACAGAGCGGTAATTAGAGAACAAACATTGAATATTGCAATTTTCGAAAGGCAACTCCATGGATTTTTTAAAAATGCCTAAGATATTATATTTCCATTACTTATTTCTTCCTACCATGTACTCTTATTGGTGATGTGGGGAGAAAATGTCTAATATGTAAACAGGGATAGACTAATTTGTATCTTCTGAATATTTCTCTTAAAATAGGAGTTAAAATTGAAAGATTGAAAGTCAAGACAGAGAACAAGAGAAACTAGGTAGGAAAGGGGAAAGTATTTTTTAGAAGCTGTGAAAACAGTCCTTTTAGTTGCAGAAATTGTTTGAGCCTGTAGTGGGAGAGTGGGACAGAAACAAATCACATTATCACCCCCATAATCTTAGTGAAGTTCTATAAGGTGATTCTTCATGATTGTATGTCACTTCCATATATATGTTGTCTTGCAGGAAGGAAGTCTTTGACTTTGAAAACTCAGACTCTTCAAGTCATGAAAAGGTAAAGTTGAGAACAGAAGTTGTTAAGAGCTGTGGTCCCAACTCAACACCTAACAGAGTAGTAACTTGCAGGAGGGAACATAGTTTGCTGCAGAAATGCTGTAAGGATGGACACACTTATAGCAAAACAGACAACTGGGAATCTGAGACTTTTTTTGTTTGTATGGTGGAAATGGATTTTTTTTTTTTTTTAATAGGGAGAATGCTCATCACTGCTTGAATTTTGTGCTGGGTAATGTATAATATCACCAACAGAAATCTGAACTGTTGTTTGAGTGAGGCCGTGGGATATCTCTGTGATTGAAGGCCAGCCTTCCTTTGTGTTTTGCTGAGTATCAAAAGAGATTGCTGAGCATTCACTTTATGCTTCTAGGCTAGACAGAAAAGACTGAAATCCATTTCAAGCCGTGCTTTGCAAATTAGGAATCCCTGGTTAAAAGCCAGTCCTCACAAAATTTTTTTGGAAGTTCTGCTTGACTTATATTTTGCAGACCCTTGAAAAAATGAAAAATAATGAGTTGCTTTGCTTGCTTTGAAACTTTGACCAGTGTGAGCTTTCTGGGGAAGTGTAAACGTGCTCCTGATGGCTTCCACCAAGGTGGCTCTGCTGCAGACACCCTTTGGATTTCAGCCTCTTTCCTAGTGTGAGAGATGTCACTGCCACCTGCTGCTGATTCTGTGGCAATGGGTGATGAATGGGACATCCCAATTTTCTCTTCTAAACGGGATATTGCCCAATCCTTGCTACTGCCACTGGGTGTCAGCATAAATCCTTGTTCCATGGCATCCTGCCCCGTGTCCCAGCAGCCCCATCCCAAGGCTGTCCAGGGACCGTATTCTGTGTTTACATGTGCTACTAGCAGTGGTGTTATTGATTAAAATGATGTTTCTTATGACGTTAGTGCTTAAAATGAGCATTATTCATAAAGCAGGGAAAGGAGAAAGTAACTCTGTTTAAGACAAGTGTTTGTCTATTATAATTTAGGACACTGTTTCAATCAACAAATTCCACTCCCTTAAAAGGTGAAACTTCCATGCTGGACTCCTGAGTTTGATACATATAATTATGTAGATTATTTTATGGGGTAACCAGACTCAAAGACAAATTTCTTCTTCTTTTTCAGGTTGCTGAAGCCAAAGGAAAGATTCTTGGTCAGAAAGCTTCTTCACAAAATCAGAGGTACAGGATCATATATGTACCATTTATGAACTTTTTGCTATGTGAAAAAGAATTCATAGCTTTTGTTAAGCTTTTTTAAGTTAGGATCAAAAAGGCTGTGTGATTTTTCTAATAGAGTAGTTCCTTGCTTAGCTACCACAGTATCTGTGGATGTTATTGGTACTAGTTTTTAAATAGTAACTGAGAATATAAAGGTTATGGGAAAGAATAGAGACTCCTGTCTACTTTGATTATAGTAATATTTTAACATGACTTTAACTCTTAAATATCGTCCTTCCCTGATCGTATGTATAAACTACTGACTTAATTTTTGGAAAATGCTTAAACTCCCTGCCTTGCTTTGGCTGCCTCCCAATTATAGCAAGCTGCCAGGAACTTGAACCTCTACATATGTAGGTTAATTTCTGTTTGAAAAAAAAAAAGCTAATTTCTAAATATCCCTGAATTGCTACTTTCAAAAATCAAGCAAAGAAAAATTTGGCTGGTGACTGCACGTTAAGAGTTTGGTTCTTGTGCTGATCTCTCAAGGAACCTTCCTGCAATTTGTTCGACTGTGCCCCTTCTGTGGGTGCTACCGTTAGTGTTCACTTGTCTAATTTGGGTCTTTATGTGCTACTTGGCAGGACTTATGAAGTAAAAAACAAGAACAAGGAATCAAACAAGCTCGAGAGAAGGCAGGTAGGTCTTCTGTGCTTTTTCATCCCTAGAGCCTTTGATTACTGTGTTTGTCCATCTGTACAAATCTGTTGCACCCCTAAAAAGGCTGAGGTTTAAACCTTACCCAGGGCAGGGGTGGAGGAATATGGACCTGGTAGCCTCTAAATAGCCTGTTTGTTGCTACTGAAAGCAGCACTCAGGGTGCGCCATCACTGCCAGTGGGCAAATTGTCTGTTACTTTTTTTTTTCCCCACTGATGTGCTGTTGGCTGCAGCTCAGACATGCTGAAGTTTTCCTTCTTGCAAGAGCACTTTTAAACACAGGAAAGAGGGGAAGATGAGGAAGGAGGATGCTGTAAAAACCCCATATTGGCAAAGGGCAATCATCTTCCTCTCGGTGTTTTTATTCTGGTAGTTTGACAGCTAACTGTGACTGTTTTGGCAGATTTCACAGCTTAAAATGCTTTGCATGTTGCACTGTGGGGAGGACGAAATGGAGTAACTTGATAGTAGTTGAAGGGGAATGGCTGAGGGTCTTCTCAGTGAGCTGATTAAGCAGAACTCACTCTTAAGAATGTCTTTAGTCCAGTTACAGGAAACATCTTTTTTCTGAAAGCAACAATGAAAATACAAGCACTGGTCAGAGTGAAAAAAGCTGGATTCTTGACTCTCAGATACAGTCGGTGCCAAAATCTGTTGACTATACCCGAAAAAGAACGAGGACGAGAAGTAAATTGAAAGGTAAGTGTAGTTCCCTATTGACGTTTAGCTATGCATGCTGTGCTGTGCTGCAGAAAAGCAAACGGCTGGTGAAGGTTTGGGAGTGTTCAGCCGAATCCTGATCCTCTTGAGTGGGAGGGAACAGGCTCGAGGCTGGCACCACCCTCGGAGGAGGTGCACTGCGCACTCTTGTGCTTGAGCTGGTCTCTGGTTCCCTTCCCAGAGTGGGGTTGAAATGTCTGGGTGGAAATCTGGCACTTAAACATCTGTGTGGGTGTAGCCCTCTGTGTGTTGATGGTGAAGGGCCCTTGAATCCTGAGCTGGTGGCTGTGTTGGCGCTCTTGAACACAACAGGAGGAAGATCTCTTTAAAGCTACTGCATCTCCTCCCTGTAACTTTCCTCTTCTCATCTCCCCAGAAACATGATTAACTTGGCAAAGTAAACCTTGAAAAACCTGACAGTTTGCAGACCATGGCACTCTGCTCCCTTTTTATACACTGATAGACTAATTGTCCTCTTAGAAATAATCACATTTGATTTTGCAAATCACAGATAGCATTCTCTGCTCAGACCTGCCCAAGAGCAAACCTCCCCTACAGCCTCCTCCATGGCCATCTACTGCTGTGACCTCCAAATGCAAACTGAATTGCCCTGGATGAGATAGAATGTTTCTGTCCCATTCATGGAGAATTATGCTTTCTCAGATAGCTGTTGGATTCAGTGGGGATGAAAAAGCAAAAGAAAGTTGAGGTTAAAATTATCCTTTATACCGTGTTTCCTTGGAAGTTGTTCTCACTCCGGTGTCAGCCCACACATCCTGCCTAGGACTTAGGGACCATCAGACAAGATGCGGAGCCTGCCTTTTTTCTTGGCTGCTCTGGATGCAGTGAGTTGTGTATGTTTGCATCATTGTATCTGGCTTTGTTAGAGAAAGGGCTTTGTTAGTAAAAGGCTGTTTTTTGAAGCTTACTGTAAGTTTTGTGGCATTCAATCTTGCAAATGCCCAGAAAACCAAACTGAAAAGGTTTGCATCATGGCTAACTCAGGTAACAGGGTGAAGTACACACTTAGCTTTGTAACCAGGTAAGCTTTTTTCCTTGCAGTGCTTCCAATGTCTTCCGCAAGTAGTGGCAGTGACTACGCATCAAAGAAGGTAAGGTGATGTCATGCTTAGGTGTCTCAGATTTAAAAACATATATGTAAAATGTGTACAAATGAGTGAGAATTAAATAAATTGGTGCTATCTTTCTTCTCAAATGTTCTGATGGACAGATTTGTCTAAGTGTTGCTGAGACTGTATTGGTCTACTAGAGAAGGTCTTAAGAAAACATGGGAAACTTTGTAGAAATGACTGTGTCTGAGTCCTGAGCATGTTGTCCTGGAGTGATATTTACCTTTGACAAGTGAAAAATTGGACAGGAATTGCTTGGTGTGACACTTGCCTTGACACAGCTGCCTGTCTAAATACCTGCAGAAATCCCAGCTGGGCCCTACAAGGCTGTGCCCCCGTGCTGTCCTCTGCCCTGTATTGTACAGTGCCTTGGGAAAGCTCACGTTCACCTCTGCTTTGCTGGCAATTTTCAGAGCTCTTATTCCAAGTCCTGTGCTCACACCATGAGTCCTGGTTCATGCACCATCATTCTCTGCTTTCAACTATAGCTCTGGGAAAACTAACAGTGGATTATGTAGCAGTGGAGGAGTTGGTGGACCAGACGTATATCAAGCAAATAAAATACAATTGAACTATGTCAGGCTTTTCCAGTGCCCAGCTGTTAAATGCCACATATCAAATATATCTCAATCAAAATATATTTGAAATACAGAAAGTTTTGAAAAAAACTCTCCAGAACACTTAGTTGCATTAAAAGCTTTTATTTTCCTCTGGAAAATTTTTTTTACTCTCTTGACTATAATGCTTCTATTCTGCTTATTAAAACCATCAAATGTACAGCTCTGATGGCTAAAGGGAAAAGTGATGCATGCATTGAACTTCAGGGCACAGGTCTCCTTCAGTGTTAGAGAGCCATCAGTATGTTAGACATATTTCAAGTGTATCTCTGCCCTTAGTGTGTGTAAAAAACCAAACCAACCAACCAAAACAACAGCCCAAGCTCCTAGTTCTTTAGTAATGTTTAAACAAAATAAATGCTTAGACTTAGTTTTGTTTCAGGGGGGAGAATCAAGGAAAAGAATTAAAAAGGAGATGCTAAGGGAAAAAAGCAGATTTAGCGCCAAGGGAGTTGATTTACCTGCAGTGGATCATGCTGGTATTTCTATTTTAATCTTCTTCAGTGCATTAGAAAAGCTGTTTTGATGCGTATCAGTCTGTACTTTTTGGGTTGGTTTTTCTTTTTGATTTTGCTGTTTGCGTTCACATTTTCTTCGTAAGCATTCTGCCTGGTGATATTTTTTGTAAGGGCTGTGAGGGCTGGATATTGTTTGCATGGATACTCTTATGCAGGGAGAACATTAGCTGGGGCTAATTAGCTGGGTGAAGGAAATAACTTCATTGATAGCCACGAAGAAAACTGGGTTTGAGCCACCCTCTCTTCCCTGTGTAAAGAGATAAAGAAGAGGGTGGAGATTTTGTTGTTGTTGTTGTCATTGAGGTTCCTAGTCAATGCAGGATTCAACCTCTGTTGCCTCTGTCATTTGACTGATCTCTCACACAGATGAAATGCTCTCAAAAGAGCCCAAAGAGGATTTGCTATCACCTGGTGTGTCTGCCAGGGGCTATTCCAGTGATGTTGAGAAGGCCATGCAGGTGCAGTATGCAGTGCTTAAACTCCTTGCAGTCTGCTGTCAGGCTAGTTCTCATCTAAAACCAATGAATCGTGTCACTTTTTTTCCTATAACTAGACAAGTCCCTGACAGCTTGCCTGCAGTGCAGGGTGGATAGCTTCTTACTTTGTTTTCTTTCTCTCCTTAGAAGTTACATGAAGCACCTGGAAATTTGACAAGAGAAGAAGAAAGTACTAAGCGGAGGGACTCAGGTTTGTTATTCTTGATAATGTGGAAGGGTTGTTAAAAAGCAGAAAGGGGCATTGCCAAAGCATTATTTGCTTTCAAAGACAAAATAGCACTGACTTTTCTTTAGATAATTTTTTGCTAAGTTCTGTTTCTCTGTTTTGTATATTATGGCAGACTACGGTAAGATGATTTTATATACCTGCTTGAATTCATTGCTAACCCCTAAATCCTGTTCTTGATCACAGGGGAACTTGTAGTGTAACTATTACGAGCTGGAGATTTGCAAACTAGTGACCCAAGAGACAAACAGAACATAATTTTTAATGATTTGAAAATGCACTGCAACTTCAGTTTAGAAAGAACAAGCCTTTCTTAAAGTTGTTGACTTTATACCTAAGAGCAGAGACATAGACCATTGCTATAAGCGTTTGGTGAATGATGACTTGGGTAATGCTTATTACTGCTGTAGCTTTTTTTTTTTTGGTAGGTGACTTAAGGGATTTTTTTTTTTTATGAAACTGAATCTGCATAAACTAAGTCAGAATTGCAGCACAGTCTCTTTGTGATTGGAAACAACTAGACTTCAAGAAAGTTGAGCAGCAATGGATTGTTTTCATACTAATCTTCTCAATGTTGATGTAGTTTTGAGAGACTGTCTTAAAGTTATTGCTGTGACTATGAATTAAGTCACTGAACAAAAGCATCCCTTTTCTAATGACCTGGCTATATTTGTGTTTCCTATATATCTCTTACCTGTCCTGCATTTTCAAAATACACTGTCACTGTACCAACAAATCTGCTTAATTTTGGGGGAAGATAAGTGCTGCAGACTTGATTTTTTTTTATCACTGTTTACTGTACAGCCTTACGATTGGACAGGAGTTGATGCCATGAGACGGCACAAGTAGGCTTATGTTCAGAAATTTCAAGTGTGATCTGTGACTGCATTTGAAGTCTTTCTTTATGAACCCAAAATCTGCTTCAGGATGCTTCTTGTGTTCTGACTGTCCCCTTTGTCTTGGGCCCCCACCACATTCCTTTCTGCACTATGGAGACTGCAGTCATCGCTGGTCAAACAGATCTCTCACTGAGTTGAGAAAAGCGAATAGTGAAACAAAGGGATTTTTTTTTTCCTTTTAGGCAAATTTTCCTTAAAATACAGGCTGTAGTCTCCCTCAGCATATTTCTAAGGTTTTTTTTCTGGTTTAAAAGCTATTGTATAGCAACTCTAGTGAAGCTGCAGAAACGTGGCTGTTATGGGTGTGGTTAGGTATTTTTCCCCTCTGTGTTTATGCATGGGTTTTGGGTTTTATTTTTGGTTTTTTTCTTGTAAGGAGAAGCTGGAATTAGCTTAGTAACATAAACAGATTGCAAGCTTTGGTTGGAAATGGGAAGAAGCTGGACAAGAGGTTTTTTTTATGGTTAGAGTAGCAGGTCAAGAGAGCAAAGTATCTTTAAGATGGAGACATGTTAGCTTTCCAGTTATCAGCATAACACTAGGCAGTCTAGTTGCCTGCTTTTACAAGGGAAGATGCTTGCTAGTGAAGTCTTATCCTGTCCTGTAAGTGTGATTTCAGACACTAAAATGAAGTTGCCTGCTTTTCTGAAGCATTGGTAATTCCAGTGGTGGTTTCTGCTTGAGCAGGTACTGTCATGTACCTCATGCAGAAGAACCGGTCTTTTCTGAAATATTTTCTCTTCTCTTCCCAGATATATTAGAAAGCACTGTCATAAAAAAGCTTAAATTTTCCAGCTGGGAGACAAATCATTCATCTTCTGACACTAACTATAAACCAAGGAAAATTTTTGATTCAGTAGAAGAGGAAGCAGAGATCCAAAAAGGTAAAGTCAGGTTGGCAATTAAGGTGGAGGTTTAAGTGCTTTTAGCTTTTCTTTTGTTATAGTAGAAATCATAGTCATATGGAAGCTTGAAGAGATGTGTCTGTAGCAAGGCTAACTTCTCCAAAGTCCAAAATTAACAGAAGGTGCATATTGCATCACTGTCATTGGAACCATATGTAGAGGTGTGAATGAGGAAATTTGGGTTCCACTCAGTAAGCTGCTCAATGATGTCCACACTTTCTAGTCTTCCTGAATAGTGACTGTCTAGAACTATTAAAAAAACAAACAAAAACCCAACAAAACAAACAAACAAACAAAAACACGAAAAAGAAAAACAAAACAAAAACCCAAATAACCAAACAAAAACAAACAAACAAAAAACAAAACAAAAAAACAAAACAAAACCAAAAAAACCCACCAAAAAACCAACAAACAACAACAAAAAAACCACAAAAAAACCCCCAAACAAACAAAAACAGCAAACACAGAAGCTGAAAAAAAGCATGCAGATAATGGACAGAGTAACTGCAAAACACTGCTAACTACATACACAAGATGATTAGGCTTTCTTTACAATGAATAAGTAGAAGACAGGAAAACAGTGGTGACTTTTTTTTCATATTCCCTTATGTTGTGCTTTTGCCTCACTATCTGTAAATATACTGCTCTTTGTGTTGCTCTATTGTGCCTGTTGTTCCTTGCTGCTAACAAGTATTTCTCAGTGGAGTTCTGGGCCAGTTTTCCTCCTGCTTATGAGCTCTAGAAGAACAAGACTCAAATTCCAACTCTGTAACAGAAGTTGCTGCTCACATGAATGACAAACCCTTCAGTAGCAGGAAAGCTTACATTCCAATAAGCCCTCCAGCATGATGTTAACTGGGCATACACTTCCTCCTAGGTCAGGAAATGGATGATAGTGTGGATGACGTGGTTTTTTCCAAGATGCAACGTGAAGACTTCAGTCATTCAGGAGTGATTACTGCATTTGAAAGCTTTGTTGACCAGCTGAAGAAACTGTTCTGGGTAATGTGTGCTCTCTTACTGTGTGTGGCAGTTTATCATATTATGTGAAATTACCTTTTTATCTCCACAGGAGTTGGTGCAAATATCAGATATTTATTTTTTGCCCAAGACCAGGGCTTTGACTGAAGTGTTTGTTAGTCTGGAGCTCTTAGAAGTATTCTACATAACCTGTATATTCTGAGAAATGTTACAGGGAAGACATAAAGGAAGTTTTAATTAGCTTTTCCCTTCTTTTTGTCTCTACATGTAGGTTGGAACATCAGATTTGGTTAGGCATTTTAAATACTTTCCTCAGAGGGGAGGGATCAAAGGTTTTTGAAAAGTAACCCAGTGTAGTGACGGTGTACCTGTGCTCGAACTGTGGGTCATTTTCCTCATGAACACATATCAAAAATAGAAGAACTCCCTTTTGGAGCATAGAGCAGTTTCACTGAAATGTAAGACCAAGCAACTTTTTCATGATGAAAACCAGAAAGCAATACAGGCTGCACCTATTGACTAGAACATGCATAGATCCATAAGGACATGCTTTGAAATTAATGGTATGTAGAGGTGTTAGCTGCACAGTTTGTAGTGAGCTGTCTATTCGTGGTTCACTCAACTATACAGACCTACTTAAGATGCAAGCAATCAACTGCTACTGTTGATTTAGCTATAACAAGTAATGTGGACATTAAACCAAGTTTAATATGAGAGAACAGTGTCTGACCTATTACAAAATCTTCTTGTGGTCAAAAGCTTTGAACAATCCAGATGTGGCAGAGCAGACTTACAGTGAGTGGATTTTTTTTTTTTTTTTTTTTGAGCTAGTACTAGGTGTTCACACTAAACTTTTTGGTACTAAGTCCTTGAATCAAGACTGAAGGTGGTTGCATTTACAAATCAGTTAAGATTAAAATGCACACTGCCTGTATAAAGGTTGACCTGAAATAGTGCTAACAAAGACCAGGTTTTGGGCAGCTGTTAAGTGTGTTGGAGTATAGGTGAAGCTTGCCTCTTCACTGACTGGATAACGTGACCCTGACCTGAAGTTACCTGGGTTACGCAGAGGCTTGATGGTGTAACTAGGGTGGCTGAATGAAGTCAGCTCATATTTGTAGTACCTGTGTGTTACCTCACTGCTGTTTAAATTTGACTTATGATGGTTTCCGCTAAGCTGAATGGCAGCCCAGAGAGGGATTTGCATTCCAGGGAAAGGTTTTGCAAACTAGACTTATAGGTTTTGGCCTGGGGTATTGCCTATCCCTAAAGGTGCATCCTGTGGCTAGGCTCGGTACAAAAGGATGGAGATCAGCACACAGAATGCCCTGAGGTCTTCGGAGAAGAACTTGTCTGCCCTGCTGAACCAGATACACCAGTGCAGGTAAGCTGCCTGGTGCTGGCTGAAAACAGTTTCAATTTTGTGTAAATTTTGATTGATAGGGAAAGCACACCTGACAGTCAGCTTACTGCCCTTATGGTTTGTAAGGCAAAATAGCTCGTGTGTCCCTTTTTTTGTTTTATTTTGTTTTTATGCAAGAAGACTTTCAAAAATGTAGCTCCTGAGATTGATCCTGATTTTTCCTGTAGAAGAGTGGATGGATTCATTAATGCAAAGCAAGCTGGAGTTACAAGCAGTTGATGAAGCAGTACTTGGACTATCTTCTGGTTGTCATCAGTGTTCACAAATCTGTTTAAAAATTCTCTTCTTTCACTTTTTTTGTTTCTGTTTCTAAATTGTTTAAGAAAGAAGCCAGGTTCTGATTTACTTAATGAAATGAGGGAGAAGAAAAAGGATCTGTTATAGGGCTGTTTCTGTAGATTGTTTCCATGTGCATGAAATAAGTGCCAGAAGTGGGCTATACAGGCATTCACCAGCTTGGGCTTTAAGAAAGTCGTTTTGCTTTACAGGTTGTCAAATTTCTTAGATAGGAGATAGATAAAAAAATCAATTCTAATATTTGTGGATTTGTTATGAGTGAAATACAAGCACAGCCTAAGAAGTAATTAAGTCTATCAGGCCTATGTATCCACTACACAGTCAGTTTACAGGATTTAGAGCAAATGTAGTATGAAATAATAGCTCCTAAAGTGAAAAATCCCTAGTATCAATAGGACCTCTTTAAGTTGAATTTGCTTGCCATTAAGGTACACAGAGAAGTTTGAGTTCCAAAAGAAAAAAAATTAATGTTTTGGGGTGGAAGGTAAGAGTTGATGGAAGTGAGCTGCTGCCATGTTTTGATGTTGCTAACTAAGTAACCTGGATCCAACCAGAGTCACAGGATAGTGGAGACAGAGCTGTGCCAAATTTGTCCTACCTCACTGCCAAGGGAATGGTGGCAAACCCAAGTGGATAAGGGTGTTGCTGGTTAAGGTTTAGAAATTGATGGTATCCTGTGACAACACTGTATGTGTATATCAAATCTGTGGTAGGAAAATCCATTAGACATTGTGTCAAGATGGAATCATAGAATGGTTTGGGTTGGAAGGGACCTTAGAGAAGTCTTCAGCTTAGGAAATCTCTGCTGAACTTCCTGGAGGCTGGGAGGAGTATTTGGGAGTCAAATCTGCCCCATGTAGTTCAGCAGGGAAATTTGCTTCTGCCTAAGTTAGGCTTGGTGCTGAAGGGGTTGTCATCCACCTTGTGTGACTGCACGTTAAAGTGTCAAACTTGTTTCTATTCTCCATCACTAGGCTTAATAAACTTGAGACCTTCCAGAAGATTGTTGTTGACGAGCTTTCCAGTCTTGAGAAGGAAACTCAAATTTTGGCAAACATGGAGAAGGATGCAGTGGTGCGTATGACTTCTCATGTATCAGCCTAGCGAGGTACTCCTTCCCAAGTAACAGGGGTTTTCTTTGGGTCTCTTTTTAGGACTTCTGGAATGCACATCTGCTCAAGCTGAATTCTTTCTGCAACCAGCAAAAACAAAGGTACATCTCTGCCAACTGCCTTGCATGCTCACAAGTCCTCCAATGGTCATAGAGGGTATTAGTTAGGCTGGTAGTACCCTTGGTGGTATATGGAAAAGGACTCTAAAACCTGTATTGCATTCTTCACTTGGTGTCCATTGATGGAACCTTTGCAGCCTTGTGAGGGTTTTCAATTGGAACTAGAGTGCAATGAGGGACTCCGTGTGGGAAGTTGTGCAGGAGAGGCACATACCTCAAGAGACCTGTACCAGGATCTGGAATAACATGCAATGCACTCTCTGGATGTGACTTTAGCTAGAGGTCAGAGAAGGTGGAAGAAGATGATCATTTCTTATGTAAAAGATGCTGTTGGTGCAAGTGCTGGGTAAAAAGCTGCAATTCTCAGGCTTATTTTTAATGGTAAATATCTCTGTTCAAGTTTCATCAGTAAGTACTAATGCTTCACAGAAAAACTAGCCAAGCTTGATTTTCTTTCAGAATTGAGTCTGTTGACTCAGCCGTGGGTGAATCAGTGAAGAGTTTTGCCGACAATATCCAGAATACAACGGTACGGTACATGTGATACAAAAGCAGCTCTGTGTGGGTGGTGGACTGAGCTCTGATTAAGTGTTAGAAGTGAGAAAATGAAACTGAATTCTTCAGAGGGGAAGCATTTGTTTTGTGGGGCTGGTTCTTTGTGGGACCTCTGGTCCTGATGCATGGAAAGCATCAAGAAAGCAGTGTTTGCCCAGCTGTGAACTAGGGGAAGTGGTCAAAAAGCACTTGCTAAGGGAAGGTAAGGACAAGGGCTATGAGATTGTGATGCTTCTCCTGGGTTCACAGTTTGGGGATTTGTTCATCCTAAGGTTGATTTCTGTGTAGTTAGTGGTTCTTAATGCATTTGGCCTTGGAGTTGTGCATCCATGAAAACCTGTGGCTAAGAGCTCTGCAGTCTAACAACACCTTGTATGCTTTCTTTCATCTTCTTTTTGGGTCTGGCAACTTCTAGCCTCGATGCCTTCAAGTTTAATTTCTAAAAATTAATTTTTTTTGTTTACCTTGTCATGGTTTGAGCAGGCCCAAAATCCAATTCTGATTCCCAGCCCCCCATCCACATCTCAACCCCATGTGAGATGGGTTTTCCAGACAAAAACACGAGACTCAATATGGGGGAAGGAATATATTACAAAGACTATACACATAAATAAATACTATAATACATTGCATACAATCTTAACTCTATATCTATCTCTACCATGACAATAATATTTACAATGGGCCCAATCTCTTCTCCCTCCAAATAAAAGTCCAGGAGAGAAGAAGAAGAAAAGACCCCTTCCAGTCTGTCAGCAGCAGGCTCTCTCTAGGCAGCAGGCTCTCTGTGTCTTCTCTTCCAGGCAGCAGTAGTAGTTGCTGGCTCTCTGCCAGCACACACGAGGGGGTCTCCAAGCCCCTCGGCCCTCCGTCCTCAAAACGGGGGTCTTTCCGTGGACTACGTAACCCCAGACAAGGTCGCATCACCACGGTCATATCACGAAGCATGGGGGTCTTCGTGACGGTCTGGTATCCTCAGGGGAAATCAAGCCCCTGTGCAGAGCTCCCATGCTCTGACTCAAAGATGGCTGCCAGCTTCTCTGAAGCCTGGCAGCAAGGAGGGGAGGGGGGGGGAAGCCCAAGGTCACCCCCTCCACACACATTCCTTGGCCATCCTGGCGTAGCTCTCAGGAGGCCATGAGCTTCCTAGCTCCTCTCAGCAGTGCATACTGCACTTTAGGACTCCTCTCAGTCCACCACCCCCTCCTCTTTCTCGGAGGGGTCTCTAGCGAGTTTGGGGGTTTTGGTTTATCCAGTTCTTACCCCTCGAAACTCTGTTCCTGCTGCTGCTTTTTTTTCCTTCTCTTCAGACAGCTCTCTGTCTGCCCCGGCTGCATACCGGCTTATGTTGCTCCTTCTGGTCCTTATCAGTTGGCTCTTTGCCACTGCTCTTCGGACGCTGCTGTCTCCGCTGCTGCTCCGTCGCTGCTCCCAGTGTCTTCCACTTCTACTTACAGGGGAGAAACTCCCCCAGCTCCTAGCCGCAGGCACTCAGCCCAGCTTCAACACCATTCCGAGTCCCTGCAGCCCCCCAACCGGGGGCTGGGGGGGGCAAAGCCCCCAGGGGCCCTAAGCCCCTGCTTCGTGGCTTCTACAACATGGCCACCCTTCTTCTCACAACAAGTACCACTGCTTCTTTTCCGGTCTCCAGAGATATGTTTATATTTTGCAGGAGCACTGATTGGGTCAAGCCCCAAGGGTCACCACCCCCTGGGGGTTACCACTTTCCTAGTTTCAGGGGGAAAACCTGGCTCAAACCACTACACCTTGTATCCTGGTTAAATATCTGTTGAAGTTCTTAAACTCTTCAGAGTCTAATCACTAGCTTATGCCCTTGTTTGAATTTATAGTTAAGCTGAATACTTTGCTAACTTCGATACAATTCGATTTCACCCCATCACATGTATTTTTTCTACTGCTGCTGTTCCAGCTTTTATGCACAGGTCTGATGTCTTTGAGAGTCTAGCATTCCTGCAATAAGAGCAGTGGATTACTATGATGTGTGTGATGCCACGTGTCTGCACTGCATAGGGCTGAAGAAAGTTCCCTGTTTGAAGGAACAACTGCGGTCACCCCAGTGGACTGGGTCTGGGATGTTAGAAAACATGCTGAAAAGCAATGACTTGTTTCTTTTAGCTATTAAAGCTGGAATCCTGAGCCTTTCCAAAGGGAAAGGTTTCCATTATGAGCATTGAGCTACTGAGAGACACAGGTGCTACTGGAGAAGGACACTTTTAGAGAGAGCAGGGCTGGGAAAGGGGGAAACATGTCATGGGAGCTGCTCATCCTGCAGCACTTGTTCGAGGGTAGGTGCTTGAGAATTAAAAGCTAAGTCTAAATGTGCTTCCAGGACCTTTGCAGTTTCTTGTCTTGTACTATTTCTATGTTTGTACAAACTTTTGAAATGCTTTCTTACCTTTTTTTGTTCTTCCCTGCAGTATGAACACCCAATGAAGAAGGCAGAAGAAAGCAATGTGTTCGTCGTTCCTTCTGACTAGCAACTCCCTAAATTCATCATTACTCTTAAAATTTGAACACCTTGTGTACCGCAGCATAGAGAAGATGGTTCTGTGAAGGATGTCAATTTATTTTAAATGCAAAGAAAAAAGAGGAGGAAAAAAACATCGACATTGAGCCTTTTTTTTTTTTGCCTAAAAAGAATATACACTGTTAAGTGGTCTAGTTATGATCCCTGTGTTGATAACAACTTTTTCTGAAAAGTTGCAAGATAGGTCCATTACATATAAAAGAAATCTAAAAAATTATCTAAAGATAATGATTTGGCCACCAAATGGATGGATATACTGCCTTACTTTGAGTGTTCTGCTGATTGATTCTAAGTAAAATGTTGTTTGCATAGAATAACAATCTTGTTTTCTTCAAAATGATGCACTGTGCATGTGTGGAAAGGTATTCTAGAGTCCTGTGTGCCTTGCATGGGATATGTTAGGCGTAGCCTTTCCTGTGTGAAGCAGCAGTGTGAGAACTGCTGCCTTGACACCATTGCCACTCAATTCTGGGCTGCAAAGTTGAAATCTAAGAGGAATCTACTGGCCAGATGCCTGATGGCAAACTGGAGACTGTGGAGGGCAAGAAATTTGGAGCATTGAAGAGAAAATGTCAAGTGAGGCCATTTCTGCAACCAGTGACTTTTGGCTTCAAGGAGAGTTCAAAGTACAGTGACCAGCACTAGGATTAGACAAAATAGCATCAAAAGTCTCTTGAAAGCAAGCCACAGATAAACCATGCTATTTAATATTTTCCTATGCTTTGACAGAGTTCCCCAAATGGTATTGCTCTTCACAAACTGTTGCAGACACAGCATTAGTGCTAGGGCACTGTAATAAATTTGTGGTAACGTGCCATGTTTCCAAGCTTTCTATCTACTTACCTTATAAACCAACCTCAGATTACTGTGTGGGTTAGAGTCAAGGGAATCTTCCCCTGCACACAATGTATCTTCATAACAAAAGCCCAAACCCTGACAGGGTTTGTTTCACCACTGAAACAGCAGGGTGATGCTGGTCCTTCTTGACAAGGTCATTCAGGGTAGCACCAGCACAGAGAACAAGAATAAGCTGCTGTTGCTATTGCTTTACCATTTTATGCCTATTCCTTTAGCTTAAGTACTCCTGACTGGAGTTGACATGATATGAAACTTGTTTAACCACATCAAGGGGTGGTTGGTGCTTTCCTTCTGGAATGGTTTAAAAGAAAAGGCTGCTTCAACCCTGCCCTTTCTAAAGCTACAGATCCACTGGTCTGCCCTCTCCTATTCACAATGTTAAGGGCTGTAACCCTGATTTCACATTCAGTAGTTTGCGTTTGTTTCTTTGCGGCCTGGCCCTGACTATGCTGCACCCTCCTGGTGCTTTTCAGTATCTTTACAAAGTCTTTACAGCTGCTGTTTGAAAATCTAGGCTCTCAAAGCACTCAGTCAAAGTGAATTTTGGGAGATGAAGCTTTAACTTCTGTGAACAGCTCTGCTTGTGTCTGGTAATACTCTTTAGTTTTGCATCCCAGTAGCAGAATTTTCGGCATCCTCTGTCCCACTAGTGTGATGTTATGCTGTGGTGGCACCAGAAGTGACATAATCAAAACAGGCTTTAAGATATCAGCCTGAATAATCCAAGCATGTCTTCCTATTGCCTGGCTGTACCCTGTCCTAAATTTGTGGCTTTTACTACCTGAGTAGTAATGCAAGGTCCTAGCCCTAGGGATGTTATAAGACTTAAATTGCCCTGTTGCTTTTTATTGTAATCCAGAGTTCACACTGGTGAAAGTAAAGGGATGCCTTTTGTAATGTTACTCCCAGTACCAAGGTGAGCCTTCTACTAGTTCCCACCTAAATGTCTACATTCCATGGTTTTATTCCCCATGACCTGGCCAAACATGATGATGCAACCAGGCCTATTAAGGTGCTTGATGTGAAGCAGACCTAAGAATTGAGATGAACTGGCCACATTGTGACTGTTCTTATATACTGAATTCTGCAAAGCTATTCTGTAACCTGTCACTATAAAGCTTGGAAGGTGAGTTTTGAGCACTTCAAAAGGCATGGATAAAGGAAAGATCAGGGTTCCTTACTTATTAAAAATTATCATAATGTTGTATGCATCTATACTTTTAACTGTTTCATTGGAAAAGTCTGAACCCTAAAAGGCTGCTTTTAGTGTGGGTATGGGAGAGCAGAAAGGGATGTCATAGCACTCTAGATACCTTCTACTCCTGCACTTCTCTTTCTATCCCTTTATATGAAACACTTCAGCTTTTGAGCTCAGTGAGTTCCAGCTTGGTAACCCGCAAACTGCCCCAGGTGAAAATTTTGAACTTTACTGATGATCTTTCCATCTGTAGTCAGTAGCAGTACTGTTTGGAGACAACAGCTGGGACAGGAATGACTTCTTCTGACCTTGAACAGTCCAGCTCATACAGCTTCCTGCATTGTTGGGTCAATCAAGCATGTTTGAGCCCAAACTTGCTGAAGGTCTAAAGTGCATTTGGTTTCTACAACAGACCTGTAACTGGGTTACTGTAATGTTTCATTTTGGAAGGTAGGTAGTTGACCTTGGCATGTTTCCTTTTCCTTCTCACTTGCACTTTTAAGAGTGTTGTTAATCCAGATATTTATTTTATTTTCTTCATTTCAGTGCAAATAGATATAGCTCAATTTTCAATCTGTTAGGTTTCCTTAACACTTCTGAGCCAGAACAACAAAGAAGATGTGGATCCTGAGATGCCAAAAATGTGCATCAGAAAAAGAAATGAGCAATACAAAGTACAGGTTAAGGGCAACTGCTTTAAGCATTTTAAAGTCTAAACAGAGTTTAATATTAAACTGGTTATAACCCCTGCTATCTTCATGCTGTATCCCTTTCAGGGGGTGATGCTGTGCCAAATGTTTGTTTACCTTCACATTCTGTATCGGCACAATGGTCCCTCCAAGGTCTAGAGGGTTATAGTTACCTAATGTCAAGGCTGTACAAAGCCAAAGAAAATGATGTCCTCTGTGGCTGAAAATGGGCAGAGGAGCTGTGTTTGCCCTGGCCTGGAGATAGCTTGCCCTGCTTGTCAGTAGAGTGTGATGATATTGACTGGAGCACACTGGGACAGTCCTGCTTCTGCAAGCAGTAGGACTGTGTCTTTTAGACTGTGTCTAAAAGAGTACTGCACTGGAAAATAGACATGTTTCTAGGAACAGCTGAGAGCTTTTGTATACTGGAATCAAACACAGCAACCTGGTCCTACATTACAGGGTGACTGTTTTTTATCATGAGGAAGAGTTGAGAAAGCATGACTTAAAACCAGATCGTGAGAAAAACCTTGCAAGGCTGAGTCTTGGCACTAACCAGCAGTCTGATTTATCTTCTTTAATTTCAGTGTTCCTGGAATGGTCTTTAGTAATGCTCCTTCCTTCCTCCTCGTCCCTTGGGAAGTTACTTACATCCAAAACCAGTGAATCAAACTCAGTAGCTTTCTCCTTTACTTCCCTTTCCCTGCAGACACACCCTTTGGTGAGCCCAAACCAGCAAGGTCAATTGTTTGCATCTCTCCTCCCATGTCTGTATTCTCAAGCTGAAAGAAATGTTATTTTTGAGATTGATTTCTCCATTGTCTCTCCTCTGTTTATACCATCAGATTCCAATTGAAAGCAATCTGAGAAATAAAGGATGACTTGATAGGCAAGTACAAGCTTTGAATGAAGAAGTTATTGCAGTATTACCTTTGTTCAAAAACCAAGTTTTTACAGGTAGCGGGACAAAAAAACCACAGGGAAGCTTTACATGAACACCAGTGAAGGTGGTGTGTAAAGTTGTGGAGGTTGTTTCTCCGTCTGAAGTGTATGTCCTGAGAACTTTCTGAAAAAGTTTGAGAAAACAGTCTCAAACAGTTTGAAAAAGTAACCAGTTTCCAGCAATTTGATGCCTTAAAGAGGACTGGAGACAACCTGATAGTAAAATTTGTTTATTTACAGTGTTACGTGTTATAGGAAAATCAGTTTAAAAAGTCAATGCTTCTCTTTCTTCAAAGTTGCGGCATTTTGAAGATGTTAAGACATATCTCAAGAATTTTAAACATACCTGATTCCAGCCTTCCTGGCTGCTCTGGATCTGCAAGGTGAGACCACCTCAGGTTTTTTTCCTTTTTTTTTTCTTTTTCTTTTTTTTTTTTTCCCCAGCCCTTTGAATTTCAAGTAAGGCATTTATTTATTTCCTTTTCTTTTGAATGAGGTTTCAACAAAACAAAAGACAATATCTGTGGGTTTGATTGCCGTAGTAAACTTTAACACTTAGCGTGCTGCCGCTGCCCACCTTGATAGTCAAATGCACGCTTTGCCATCAAAAGATTATGGACTCTACTCAGCCTAAAATCTGTACTGAGACACATAACCCTTTTGTTGCCTGCCTCAGATGAATGGTTCAGCTAGTTCCCTTGTGCACTGTCTTGTCAGCTCTTTCAAAGCCCTCTGCCTTTACCCTGGTTTCCAGTATGAAGTTGATATCAGCAGAGCCCTGAAGCTTCCCGTTTACTTATGGTCATGTAGAACACCTTCAGTCAAATCCACAAATTTCTTACAACATGGGAGTTTTACAGTATCAACCAGAAAGGCCTACAAAGCAAAGGTTCTGGAAGGACTAATGAGGAATACTATATGCATGCAGTGTCCAGGCTTTGTGAATCCTTTTTTTTTTAAAATGGCTGCTTTCCCTCTTTATTGAATGTTAAATGAAGCAAAACACTGACTTTCAGACAGTGATGTTTTGTAGCCATCACATTCAAACTGAACTCTGACCCAAGACACCCTTCTTCATGCCATTTTCTCCTCTTGCTTTTGCTGGACAAACCTGTCTGTTCTTTCCCCCTGTACTGTGTCACTTCCTCACCCCTTTTCCTTTCTGTCTGTGAGCCTGAATGGCTGCAGTTTCTCAGGCTGCTCCTGATGAGGCTGGCTGCCCTGTGTCCATACTGGTCCCTGGAACAAACCTTCCTCCTGTCT